TATTACATTAAAACTAAAGACCTATTCTATCAACTAATAACGTTATTTTTTTAAAAGATAGGACAGAAAGTGACTTCAATACTTTTAAAATTTATGCAAATCTTAGGAGGTCTTTAGACCGAGCCAACTATATAAAAGTTCTAAAACTTCATGTCAACTTTCTAATTAAAAAATAAATGGTGTGGGAACCAATCCACCATGATGTAAAGGAAATGTAAGTAGATATGTTTTGATTGGAGATAGGTTACTTCTCTAAGCAATCATTAAAAATTGAGAATTTTCACATTACCAGTCATTCCAAGTATAATCAGGGTTGTCTAATGTTTGATTGTCAGACTTTATATCTTCCAGCGCTTCTAATCAAAGAACAGAGCAATGGTGTGAATAAATAAAGTTAAACGACCCTTAAGTATGAAGTGCAAATCGATAAATAGTGCTATATTTCTCAATAACAGTAATTTAAATTATTATTTAGAGTATGGTATCTCTGGAAAATTTTTTGCATTAAGCAATATTTTTGAGTTTGTTTTATTTATCAGCCTTATTTTTGGTCTTTTGAATGGCTTATCCAAGTATTGGAAAATAAATGGTTATAATGAAATGTGGAAAGAAAAATTATTTAAATATCATTCTAAAAAAAAGATAAAAATAAAATGAACATGAATAATTTTAATAGGATTTATTTTATTTGATTCTTAATTCGTGATCCATCAGTAAAGGAAAGGATATATATATATAGTAAAATTCTGGGATAAGTATCATAGTAATAGTAAAACCAATTAGCTCAAAAAACAAATTGTGGTTTTGAAGCTAAGACCTTTATCGCTTATTTATTAAATAAATGCACCACATCAATTTTCTATTTAATTTAGCAATTCATTTTTTGATATAGTATTAATTTTAAACCAATTTCCAACGAGTTGATTAGAAGGCTAAAGTTGGCACTCGTAATGTAGAATTACGATACTACGATGTTGCAACTTGAAGGCCAGAATTTTACAATGTTGCAACTAACCACAATCCTTTACTAGTTTTATGCATTTTAAAGCTATTTATTTTTCATATTTTTCATATAATAATTAAAGATGAATTTTGCTACTGATAACTAGGAATATTTTACACATGATAACAATCTTGTAATGGATATTACCAAGCTACTTGTAAGCTATGTTTGTCATTTTTTAAAGATGTGCGACCATATCAATTGTTTTATAATAATAATATTTTTAACTGTATCGTGGTTATGTTGCAACACTATGTATAGTTTTATGTAATATGTAAAGTTGCGGGTATGTTGCAACATTACAACATTTGATATTTTATTACAGGGGACAAGTTTATAGAAGGTGTAAATGATTGGTATATAAATTATATAATCATGAAGGAATGTCAATTTTAAATTGGGCACAAATAACGAGAGATGTTAATAAAGAACCAGGTGGTTTTTATACAAATGGTGGCTGGCCATTCTTGAATATGGATAAAAAAATGACGATTCAGAAACATCAACTAGCTCTGTAATTGAATTTGAGCCCATTGAGATGGAGGAGGAAGGATGGTTCCGTCATCATTATTATAAAATTGCATTGGTAATTTTTGTATATTACAGGGAAATGGCAACTAAGAAGAATCTGTTGAGGAGTCAGGTTAGATAAAGAAAGAGATGAGTTTATCTTAGATCTCATGAAGGCAATAGTGATTCCAATGTATTTTAGAGTTTTCCAACATTAATGCAATGATTATTGAAATTTAATAATAACCACTTTTTTTCTTTTTAATTACTTCAATTCCTTTTTTTTTTCTTTTTGTAATTGGAAATATCATGATTAATAATAAATAGTGAGCGGTATTGCATATTTTTTAATTATTGTCATTAATGTGTAAATATTTGTATGATAATGAAAGTTGCCAATAAAAATATTCATAATAAAGAATTGCTTTTAACTTGTGCTTAACTTTCTCTGCCATATTATTCTTGCTGTATTGGTACCAACATGAATTTAATAATTATTTACAATAGGAATGAGGAAAAACCAATACATATCTCTTTTTTTTGTCATCGTGAAAAGACAAATGCATCATTATACTGATATAAAGTCGATATATTTTAAGAATTATTCCTTTTCGCGAAAGAGATTCCTGAAATCTAATTAATAAGAAAAGCAAGAAAAAATAATCATCACATAATAATATTTAAATATTTTATATAAATTAAATTAAAATTTCGAATTAAATAATTCACAACCAAAAAAGTATTTTTTTAAAATATTTTTTTAATGCTAATTTATATATTTTTTAAAAGTTCTATGCAATCCTCAAAAAGACATAAGCCATTCTGGGATGAATTCATTCAAAAATTCACAGACTAGCTCTTGGTTCATGGGCCACAGTTGACTCGGCTAAACCACCAACACCTAAAGATTTAAATAATCCTTTCCTTTTACCAGACGGAAAATAGAAGAATTTTAAAGATGTAATTTCTTCTATAAATGAGAGTCAAACTTCATCTTCATAATAATCATCTTTTCCTTCTTCTTTTAAAGCCGGGGATTAAAATATTCATACTGCGCGTTGGACGTGCAACCAATGCCTAGCTGCAATTAATCATGATATAAAAAATAAAAACAAAAAGTATTTACGTGAAAATTATATCATTAATAAATCTGAAAAATTTAAAGACACCAACAAGTCTTATGACATTAGGGATGGATTTAAAAAGGAAAAACTTTAGATTGAAGTAAAAAGGATCAATTGCAATCAATCACTATTCTATCAAGAGACTGGGAAAGAAATCGTGGTCATTATTTATTCTTCAAAGATATTAAAACGAGTGAAAAAATGTCTGAAATAAATCATGACTTTCGTTTTACCATGAATCGTCTTGGTGAATTCTACTGTGTATCCTCCAAACTACTTGAAATTAAGGTTGATAACTAAAGTCTTAAATTTTCGGTGTTTGAAGAAAATAAGGCGCCGGCATCATTTCTCTTGGTCCAGGAGTGAGAACCTTCATAATTGGATATAATCCAAGTGGTGAGATTATATAATGGGGAAAAGAGGATATTAGTAGAATACATCTCTTGTGCTTGCATTTATGATAGAATCCAAAGTGAAAGTAATTCTATTGATGGCAAAGCAAATAAATGTAACGTATATGGTATAAGCTCCGTCGGTGAATGCTCCAGGTCCACAAGAAAAATCGTAATCTTGTGGGTGAATGTCATCGAAGATTAGCAAGATGGCTGTGAGAAAACCATCACGCAGTTGTGCTCCCTGAGTTTAAAACGCAAGACATGGTTAAAAAATGCAGCCCCAGAAAAATCCCTCTAAAAATACAAGACAAATGTTGATCTATTCATATTATTGTTTCGCTAACATTTGCTACACAAATCCCACGAGTTCCTTGGTTCAAGGTCGTCGTCTGCACTGAGGAAATACACTAGCAAAACGTGCAGTCATCAAGTCAAATCTGGGCGATTCAAAGATCTTTAATTGTACATCTTGCAAATACACCATTAATGGTCGTAATATACTTTTAAAGTATATTACAGAAAAACAACAAGCGAGTACTTGATATTAGTATAAATTCAATTAATATAAGAGGTTAGTATCATTTTTGTGTAATAAAACATGTGATACTAAAATACTTTTTTTTATGGGGCTTGTTGTGGCTTTAGCACAACTTTGAAACTATCCCAGATATGGTGATGTACAATTGACTTGTAATACTTATATGAACAGAGAAGATTTTTTTCTTTGAAAAACCACAACTGACCTTACTTTTTAATTAAATTATCAAATTATAATCATGTCAGAAGGAAAAGAAACCACCTCAACTGTAATTACAAATAAAAATGTAAATAACAGTAATAATAGCGTTAATAGATCAAACTCGTATCAAAAAGAAATACCATTTAATTATCAAAAATTTCTTGAACAAATGAATCATAAAAATGCAATAAAAATTGTAAGATACGTTAGAAAGTAATTATTTAATTTCTTTTTTTTAATCAATAATATTAAAAAATATCAAATAATTTATTGAAATAATCATTGCCTTTTTTTTATCGTTTAGTTTTGAATTAGAATTTGAAAGGTATCCTAGAGCAGTTAGTGATCAAATCAAATTCGTGCATGAATTTCTAGACGTACGTTAAGAATACTCATTTCTTATATCAATTCATTGCAAATTTATTGGTATATACTTACACATTTTATTTATTTTGGTTAGTTTATAGCAGGAAAAATGCGTGAATGTGAGTTATGGAAGAATGCAACAGAACAAGAATTTGAAAATGCAAGGGAAGGAATGGAGAAATTGGTGATGAGCTTACTATATAAATTGTAGGTCTTATTTGTTTTTATTAAAGGTTGAAAATATAAAACGAATGAATGAATGAACGAATTTTTTTTTAGAACTT